TGATGGCACCGACCAGACACCAAGAAACCGGACCTGCAGCAGCGTCTCCCATGCAGCTCTGTGCCACAGCAGCGGCTGCGACAGAGATGGGGGGAGCAGGGAAAGAGGAAGGGGGAGGCCCTTAAAGAGACAGCAGCTGCGGCACAGGGGGGCTACTGGGGACAAGGGCCATGGAAGGGATGGTTCTTCTCGAGGGAAAGAAGGTGATCTGGGGCTCCCTGGCCAGCTGGGAGGGGGCTCTAAACCCCCATGATGGGCCTGACCCCATTTCCCATCAGCACTTTGAAGTGCCTGGCATTTCCTCCTCTGCCAATGCCTCCCAAGATGTGACTGTCAGTGGCCTGCCAGGGCTCTCAGCTTAGGGGCGTCTACTCCTGCCAAAGAGAGGGTTCCCTGGGGAAGGAGCTGTAGGAAGTGGTGCATCTCAACACAGAGTCCTTCAGACCCAGAGCCCCTGCTCCACCCCCAGGAGAGAGAGAGGAACTGAGAAGCATGAGGCACCTTGTATGTGTCCCCAACTCAGCTGCACGCTGCCCCATGTCCTTATCTACTGCTGGAACAGTACCAGGTGGCTGTGCTTGTCCCCTTTCTACTGGTCAGGAAATGGTCCTAAGCACTGAGTGATGCTCCCAGGGTCACAAAGTTAAGAAATGGCAAGAACTCAAAACCCGCCTGAAGCCCAGGAGGCTCAGCCACTGGCCTCCCCTGGCTCCCTAGGTGCCCACCGCTTTCTTTTGCTCCTGGTTCCCCTTCCTCTGCCACTTTACAGAAGAGCCCAATTTCAGAGAGGAAAAGGGTCTCAGGGATTGGCTGGACAGAGCCCCTCATTCAATCACTAGGAAAGTGAGGTCCAGTGACTTGGTCAAAGTCAACTAGGCCAATTCAGAGCTGCTCCTCACTTTCAAGTGGCCCCTCTGGAGTCCTGCCTTCTGTCCTGAACCAATGGTTCTGTGGACTTCTTCAGGACATGGCTCTTGCTACCCAAACCATACTTTGGTCTCCAGGTTTGCCCTCAATAATCAGGGCTATAGTTGGCCTTTCCCCCTCCCAAAGCCCATTCCTAAAGAGGCAAAGGCTGGAATTTGCAATTTTGTGCTGCCCTCTAGTGGCCTAGAAAAGACCGGGATAAGTTGGAAACAGTTTTAGAGACAATTTGTAGATTTAGTTCCTGACTTCAGGCCCAATTTCCTGACCATTTTTATTCTGGGCACAGTGAGAGGTGACTTATGTTGATTCTTATTTAATCTTCCCAGGTGGTGGTATTCTCAGTTTAAAAGAAGTTTAAAAAACAAAAACTTGCCAAGATAAAACAGCTATGAAAATTGGTTAGAAGCTGGATTTTGAACCAATGTTTGCTTAACTCCAGAGTCAAAAATGAGCAAAACTTCAAAAGGAACTCAGGAGGACACCAAAACTAAGGACCACAGACTTGGTCAAGGAACTGTGGTTTTACCTTGGATGAAGCAGATCAAAGCAAATAGAGACAAGGGTTTGTGCTTTTTGCGTGTGTGATTTTTTTTTTTTTTTCTGCCAGGCATTCATTTGGACACCCTAATGAATTCTGCCTTCTGCATACTCGCTGTCCTAACTATGGTTTGAAATAGCTCACGTTTTGTCAAATGGATCATAAATTTGCAGCTCGAGGACTCAACAGATCCCACAGGCTTATTTATTTATTTGTACTCAGGATTAAAGCTAGGGACCCTTTGCCATTGAGCTACATCCCCAGCTTTTTAATTTTTTTTTAATTTTGCAACAGGATCTTGCTAAGTTGCTTAGGGCCTCACTAAGTTGTTGAGGTTGGCCTTGAACTTGCAATCCTCTTGCCTCAGTCTCCCCAGCTGCTGGGATTACAGTACGTGCCACCATGTCAAGTCCACAAACATATTGTTTCACCAATATGGTGTTGTCAGCAGAGTACAGAATTTTCTTAATTTAATTAATTAAATTTCTAATTTTTTTGTCAATGTTCCAAAATTGGCAAATTTCACAGAAAAGCTCAACTTTGCTAGGCACGGTGGTGCATGCTGTCATCCCAGTGGCTTGGGAGGCTGAGACAGAAGGATCGAGAGTTCAAAACCAGCCTCAGCAAAACCAAGGCACTAAGCAACTCAGATGCTAAATAAAAAACAAAATAGGGCTGGGGATGCAGGCTCAGTGGTTGAGTGACCCTGAGTTTAATCCGAGGTCCACCCACCCCTCCCCACAAAAAAAAGAAAAAAAAAAGGAACGCTCAACTTCTAGCCTGGGGATATAGCTCAGTGATAAAGCACTTGCCTAAAATATTTGAGACCCTACATTTGATCCCCAGTAGCAAAAAAAAAAAAAAAAAAAAAA